GGAACAAGGAGTGCATCCCCCGCGCGGAGTTCCCTTCATCCATCAGGAGGGGTTCTCCAGCTCCACAGAGCCCAGAGTCAAGGCAGGGACCAAAGCTGAGACCGGGAGGCAAGACGGGAAAGCTGAGCTTCAGCCGCAAGCAGGGAGAATCGTTTTCCCCCCCGCCAGCCAGATGCACCAGAAGGAGCCTGCAGCTGCAGCCATTTCCCGGAAAAGGCTGGAGAAACAGTAGCCGGGGTGAAAGACCCTTCCCCGCCCACCCTCTTCTGGGCAGGGGGGCAGAGGGTTGAGCGTGAGCTCGTTTCCATACTCCTCCTTTACTCCTCCCCTGCCTCGCCAGGTCAGCAACAGCTGCTGCTGTGAAATAGTGGAGCCCCAGAGTCCAGCTCGTTAAAAAAGTAAAAAAAAAAAAAAAACTAACAAAAAACCAATGGGCTTTTATTCTTCATGAGCTGCTCACAGTCACAGCTTGGAGACACTGCTCTTGCCAAAGTTGTTATGAAACAAATCAAGTCCCAGACTCAGGCCTCGCTCTTCCCCCACCCCCAAGAGAGTCAACATTGTACAAAACTCTATTTACAGGGAAAACAGTCAGAAACGGCGAGTCCAAAAAAACCCCCTTGCAATTCAGAGAGGAAACGTTCCGAGACGAGTGTGCCGGGCCCTGCGCACAGCCAGGGGCTGGTGGGAGCCCACAGCTGCTCGCCACCCGACTACCACGAGTCTGGCAATCCCGAGTCATGGCACGGCTCTTTCCTTTACCAAAACCACCAGAAATTACAAAAACTCATCAATCCTAACAAAAGGCTCAGCTGGATCTGCCGGCAAGGCTAGCGAAAAACATCCTTGTGCTCCCTCATCGTAAAGGGGGGGTCAGGGAGACAGGGCTGAGGGGCAGCCTGTGCCCTTCCCAGGAGGGAATCTCTCTCCAGGTGGAAGCCAGAACGTCCAGAGCCCTCACATAAGCAGGGGAATATGTTGGGAGACCTAATACCTGTGTTTACCGGAGTCACGTTACTTTGAAACACTGAACCAAAGGAAGCAAACCAATATTTAAAAACTGAAAACAAACAAACAAATAATAGAAAAGCGCACGGGTTCCTCCTCCCAACTGTGCTTGGAAGAGTGTCCATAGGAGCCCAGCGAGAAGCTCGCCGCTCTGCCAG